ACATTAAAGACCAATATTATGATGTTGTACATTAGTACAGCAACATTCACATAGAAAGAGACAAGCATAAAAGAACCCAAACTGCAATTACACAAACATAACTAGAAGTGAATGGCTGTGTTTTCTGTACATCCATGAGGCTCCTTTCACAAAAGCAAGGGGGATTATTACACTATGGGAATATAGTAATTTTGACTTTGCTCTTTGAAATTATTGTTATATTTACTACAAAGGCTTGTGGATTTCATTGACTTAACTACGAAGTCAGATATAAAAGTCCACATCTCTGACTGCCAGAGTCCAAATGTACCATATTCAAATGCAAAGGAGCTCATAGTTCAGAACTCCTGCTAAACCTAGGCACACAGGCAGAAAGTCCAGACAGACAAGACCAACAAGAAAAAAAAACAAAACCCAAACATTGAACACTTCTTTTAGGTATCACAAAACAGCTTTTAAATAACAGAAAAACTTTGTAAATATCTATGGATGGTTATCTCTGAAGGTGAGATAGGAAATATTTCAGCAAAAATGTTTAAGGGTAGGCTGGCATAACTTCTAAAGATGAGGACATCTCTGAAATGTGCAATATTTGTTTGTGAGAATAAGGCTTTTCTGAGAGCTTCCGTGAGTTCAGACTTCTAAAGTCTTTTATCTGCAAGTGTGGAGAAAGAGAATACTCTGGAGGAAAGGCAAGAGAAGTAATGGTACAAACAGCATATATATATATATATACACACACACACACACACGTATTTGTTTTCAGTCCAGTGTGCAGTCATGCCTGGAGGAAGGCAGGTATTGCCAAGGACTGTGAGGGTCATGCTGTTGAAATGATGACTATGCAGTGGGAATCAGTTGACTGAGTTGACAGAAAGATGCAGGTCTGTAACAAAAGAAGAGCAGCCAGAAAAAGATGCCCAAGATGTGAGGATTTAGAAGAACAACTAAATAGAGTTGTTCTAGTTACTCCCTTAAGGAACAGGAAGAAACTCAATTGAAAAGATTAAGAGCAGTACTCTGTCTTAAGTTAAAAAACAGATATCTTTAAGAACACAACATGCCAATGTACAAATCACAAGAATCTGTTCAGGAATGGAAAAGTGGCTCTGTTGTCTCAAGTATAAAGGCATCCATTTAACTTAGATCTGGACACGTGATTATCCAGAAAGACACATAATTACAGTTGTCAAATGTATGGTCTGTGACCTCCTGGATCCTGGGATCCACTCCTAAAGAATGTTTAAAACCTATCTATTGCCTTTTGCATTCAAGACACTTAAGAACCTGAACACTGAATTCACTATATTAGGTGAAGAATGTGATAATCCACAAGACAAAGCGCTAATCCTACAAACTCATGCTGCCAGTTTGAATGTATTCATAAAACATGATGAGTTAACCTGGTATCAGAAAGCTTTCCACTAAATGAGGTACTGTCTGTTCTCCTGCAGTTGGCATAAATTCAGTCTTATGTGCTTTAGCTAATTCAACAGAAATGTACTTGCAAATCCACACCTGATCTGGATCACATGTATATTAATACAACACACAGATCGGTCACATAGAATCACCATCTCCCAACATAAGTAGAATTACATTCATTCTGCAAGCATCGCAATTTTTTATTTGTTGAACATTAAAAGTTAAGATGAGGAACCACAGAAGACAAAACCAACTTGGGTCCACTGCCTTCTCTACTTGGAAGCCAACCAAAATATGCAAAGCTTTTCAAAAATTTCCCTCACACCAAGTATATGAGCTTATCTGTAAGAAACAACAACAGAAAAGATACAATAAAACAAAATGTTTGTTCAAACGATTAGGAAACAGAAGTTTAGGAACTGTCAACTTGACACAAGTATTAAAGTGCTTAAGGAAAAGTACTTTTTGCATGTTAAATTTTTAGCATTGGACAATATACTAGACTACACTTTTTTTTTAGTTCCCATGAAATTTAAGTATTTCTTTGTCACACATTGATTGAGAATCTTTTTAAATTAAATAAGCATTAAATTTAATGAATTTAAAAAACAAAATCGACAAATTCCATGTATAAAAAAGCATTTTCCATTTGGCTTGCAAACTATATGCTCAAATTCTGGCTCTCAGAAATGTTCCAGAAAAGGTTTTCCTGCTGTTGGGATAGCGCCTTGAAGTGCATGGAATTACAAGGTTAAAATATTGTTATACATGGAGAACGTTCAGTATCCAGTATTTTTATTCCAAGACCTTATTCATAACCTGCAGTCAAATTCATGCAAAATGGTGCACCAGTTTACAGATATGATGAAAGAAGTTAGATAATCCAGGCCAATAGTATTTCACGCAGCTTCAACGTGTCTGCTTCTTCCTAGAGACAGGACAACAAAATATAAACCTAACCCGGATCAGTGATACTGTTCACAAAGTCATGGTTTAGGTACAGCATTGTCACATCTATCTCTTTTAATTAAATCACTGCAATTTCCTGTTTTAGAAAAGCCTTTAGAAAAGCATATAATGGAATAAATTAAATTTAACGGCTAGAAATAGACCTATTTTATAAACGTATTGTCCCTCATTTGAGGGACAATAGCACAAGCTTCAGTAGGATTCTCTAATCGCCACACAAAAATATAGTTTTTATAGATGCTGCAATCACTCTGCCTTATTGAGTCAATAGGCATACAGCAGCATGCTCTTTTTCTACATAAGCAAAGTATTTCTGATGCCTCTCACACACTGCATTTTCCTGGCAGCAGACCACAATTTGTACTTTTCCTTTTATTTCTGTATCTTTTTAATGGAACAAGCCCATAAATAGATGTCGGAGTACAACCGAGCAGATGATAAACTGTGACATATGGGCTGAACAAGCAATTGGGAAAGTGAGCGGTGAGAAGAAAGTGACTCTAGTGGAAGTAACTTTAAATAGTTTTGCCATCAGATAAAGCATTCACATTTAAGACATCTGACACAGTTGTAAGGAAAAGTAACAGAAAGAACTTTCATTCCAAGACATGTGAAATACTCAAATGCATTCATGGGTGTAAATACAAAACCCCGCTCTGAGTTCAGTAAACATGTAGGTATTTTTTGGTTAAATAATAATTCTAACACTAGTCCTAAAAGAACTTATTAGCCCGTTAGTTTTCACACCTCTTTTTAAAAGAGGGGGAAACATAAAACCATCTGAGCTACAGTTCAGAACACAAGGAGAAAACACATGTATTTGAGCATTTGTTCTGTATTGTAAGATTTCATGAGATTCCAGCAGAAAAACATACTTTCCTCAAAAAGATTTTCTGTTTTAGAAAAAGAGATTTTATAAAATTTAAAAATAAAAGCTCATAACACAGGACTTTATACATAAGAACATTAAATAACTGAAAATAGTGACAAAATTCATTCTCAAGTTTAAAGCATCTTTCTACAGATGTGGACTTCATCCATATGCAGAGAATATGATGAAAGATAGGAAGACGACTACCAAATTACATGTACTAAAAGTTCCATATAGAACAGCAAAATACTGAAAGAGTAATTTTAAATGCCTTGCCACAAGACATATAAAGCATTACCTTGTCACCAAAAAAAGATGGTAACATCTTCTGCCATATCATCATTGGTTACATACAGGATAACCTTTCCATGCAACCATCTGAGGGGTTCCAAAGGGTACAGGACTAGGCACAGTAACTACCAAAAAGCCTAACACCTTCTAGAAAACAAACTAAAAGAAAAGCTTTAATGGTTTCCCTCACAAACAAAATCTTGAATCTATAAACACATTTCAGGATATTTGCTTTTCCCCATACTGGGTTTTGTCTCGTCATCTACACATGGAAGTGATTCAGTTTCCTGTACCTTTCTGGAGCTACTTAGGATGTAGCAACAGAAAGAACTTATTCAAGAGGTCTGCTACGAGGTTTGTAGTTAATAGAGTACTGTAGATGAGCAACCTAGCAAAATCAGCGTGGAGAGGAGTGAGAAATTGGTCAGTCATTTTAAAAGTTTGCCTGAAACTGTAGCTCTGGGAGGGGAAGGGCAGCACGAGGAAAGCTGTAACTCAACAGCTACTTAACTCTGGAGTAAAGAATCTGGTTTTGCAGTATATACAGCACATACTGCAAAACTCCCTACAACATTAATACAACACAAACCTTGCAGTACTCGGCTGTCCTCAAGTTGTACAGTAGTTTTAGTCCTGCACAAAGGTATTTCTAATTAAAAGCCTCGCTTCCTTTTTTCTTTTATAGTATTTTTTTAAATTATCTTATTTTACTTATCCTTACACACAAGCATATCACTTAAAATATACAAAAAATCTAGCCTCAAGTACTTGTGAGCAAAACCCAAGAATACACAATAGCATGTTATGTGAGTCACTGTGTCACACATTTAGAACACCCATCAAAGTTGTACTTCGCGTTGTAAGATTTCAGCAACAAAAGCCACTTCCACGAAAATAAACCAATGGAAAAAGTTAAACGGTGCTTTACGTCATGTTCCTTCGATGCTTTCTGCACTCTGTTCTTACAACATCTTAGAAGATGTTCGGGTCTACCAGAAACAAAAGCAAACATCCTCCAACCTAAAGTTTCCTTCCTCTGAGCAGAGGTACACGGAATCCACGTCAGAAGTTTGATCTGTTATCCCCTTCATGCGGGAGCGAGGGCCCGCTCCACGCACGGGCCCCGGGACAGACTCCTCCGAGCCGTTTCCCCACAACG